GTGAAACTTCCAGTTGGCAATTCCTGAAGTCAAAATTGTCTAACTCACATGTGGAAGACCTAACGTACCCCCCCCCCCCCCCCTTCCATTTCCCCTTCTGGGTGGCTGGCAAACAAAAAACCCCTATGGTCACCGGGCAACTGAATGCTGTCTGTTGCTGCAGCTGTCTCTTCTGCCTTATTATTGTCCACTAACTTTCTTGGGCTCTTGTTGTTTATTTCTCTCTGTGATTTCATTGTGGGGTTCCGCACCCTATAGACTCGGATAGTCCTGGGACCTTTGCTAATTCTCTGATCCTTCACCTCTTGAATGTCAGGCAAGGAATCTATGGCACAACGGAAATTTGCCTTCCATGTTTTTGGGTCAGGCTGTACACCACCTTCTTTGTACCGCCCAGTATGAATGGCCCAGTTTTCGAAAAGACAAGCATCTTTTTCTCATTCCCACCCCTCCCTAGCTGCATGTTTCCAAGGAATCTGGAACAACTTTTCTTCCTTATTGATCCAAAAAAGTCCAGGAATTTTATTTGAATTAATGTGCAATTCCAGCCAAGGCCTCATGTGCATTCTTGCTTGCGACATTCTGGCTCTTCCTGTAAGGTGGCAATCCTTTTTGCCAATTAAAAGATCGCTGGTCGTAAAAGGTCTATGTATATATATAAAAACTAAATTATCCCCCAAAGGAACTTGCCAAGGGGGTGCCATCGTAAACGTGGCAAAGCTAGGGGGCCATATGACCGACCCATCCTAGTGTGAGGTAGACTGGCAAGTTCAATTATTTCCGCCAAAACTGAGGCGGCCGAGGAGGTGGGGGTGCCGAGGGTGGCGAAGGTGGCACCACTTGGGGTACTATTGGAGGCACACTTGGTCCTCCATATGGCAGTGGAAATTCCTCCTCTGGTTCTTCTAAAGTCAGTTGCCCTTTTCCTTCCACTTGCTTTTGTCTCGGGCGGACAGGGCAAACACTTGATTGAATTGGGGAAAGACCATACTGACTCAAAATGTCTTTCCATACGGCCAAATTAAAAAAATTCAAATAATTATCTTCTTCAACCTTCCCAAAGCAAACCCTGAAGAAAGGGAACTAGAACATCCCAAGCCACGGTCATTTCATTGGCGTTTCATTTTATCTGAACTGAACTTTTGTAGTTTGTTAACCTGTTTGGGGTTAGACATACATGTTGTGTGACTCCCGTTTGTAGGGAAACGTAGATATGGGTTTTGAAAAAGCCAGCCCTCCCTTCTTAGAAAAAGAAACAGAAAATGCTCCAATAAGCATTTATTGGGCATTCCAAGTGCTTGATGGAAGTCAATCCCATATTTTACAACACACACACAGAAACACACAAATAAACACAGGACGTATCTGATCAATGCCACTGCCATCCTATACCAGCTCAGAAAAATAGTGCCTTCCA